GTCTCCTTTGCCCCTACCATACTGAACAGTTCTGAATCCCCATGGTCCTCCATCTGTCTGCATGTGTCCTAGATCTCCCTGGGCAGGGATTAGATAATTGTGCCATTCCCATCAGCATGCCCAGGGGTCTGGCAGGAGGGAAGCTGCCGGCTGGCAGCAGTGGGGTGGGCAGGAGCCAGGGGATAGTCTGCTCCAGGAGTCCCTGAGCAGCTTGCGGCTGTGCCTGGCCCTCAGTGGGCCAGCCACGTGCCTGCCTGCCCTGGATCTGCCTCAGCTCAGAGGCCAGAGAAGGAGAGAGCACAGGTTTAGACAAGGAAGGATGTCTACCATTATCAGGTGGCCCCCTCTGGCCCAGACCAATGGGAAAAATTAGAACCCTTTCCGACTTCCCACCTCCCTGCCTCCTCCTCTCCCAGCACCTCAACTTCTAGTTTGGTTATTAACATTGAGTTGATAAAGGGAAAACCTCTGACTATAGACTTGCCAAAAGTTAGATGATACAAAAAACATTTCCATTTGACTTTAAAGTTAATTTAAACATAATTTGTATATGTTCAATATATACCGAAAATGTATGTGTTCAGATATACCTATCTTCAAATATACTCACGCACACAGAAACACAAGTACACATATATACCTTCATATATATTTATTCAAAATCTTCATAGACTAATGTATGTGTCTACACACAAAAATATAGAAACTTATCAACTGACATGGAGAAACAAGCTTCTTATGAAATAATTTTCACTGCTAATCATCAGCATAAATTATTCATTTGGATAACAGAGAACTTACTGTATTTGCAATCAAGTAAACAATGTAGTCAATATCTTCCTGTTCTTTCCCACGGAGGGAAGAAAAGGGGCAGCTGCACAATTGTTGGAATTGTTTAATTTTTTTCATTGAGCTTCAATAAGTTTATTTTAGCAAAACGTATATCATAGATCTTCAATTTGCCAAATGTGTTGCAGTCTTTATCGTCACAAAATATGCTCATTGCCTAGAAAATTACCTTCTAAACTGGTGACAAATTAAAAACAGCCCACTTACTTAGGAGAGCTGATCATCAATTATAAAAACACACAGGCATCCAAATACCACCTTGATTTTAATGTTGCAAAGTCCATTTATGCATCACCTACCAGCTTTTATTCATTCATTCTTTTTTCCCCAAAAACATTTGTGATTGTTGTTCTGCCAGAGAGAAAATGGACATTAGCCACTCATAGAACCAAATATCAAGATAAGAGAAACTTCAGGTGTTTAATGGCACAAGCATCTTACTTTATAGATGAGAAAACAGAAGCTTGAAGGGTTTGCATAACTTTTCATGCTCCCATATTTGTTTGTCTACATAGGTTTCTATAATATCTGCATCCCACTTCAATAGCTTCTTATAAAGATGAACTCAATACAGAGAACCTAACTTAGTGACTTACACATGGTAAGGCACCCAATGGACAGCAATTTCCCCTTTCTTTATGTTTTTGTTTTTTGTTTTAGCTATTGTTTTCTAAAACTTTCTTCAGTTCACATTTAATAAGTCAATACATTTATTTATAGATGTATGAAATATTGAACAAATATCTATATTGTCATGTACATTATGACAACCCTAATAGGGTGATTTTATGATCAGCTCTCTGGCTACTATGGTTACAGTTTTCTTTGTTCTATTTAATATTTGTAGTATTTTATTTTAGCAATTTTAGCAAAACAACTGATGCTCTGCAAGTTTAATTTTCCAGGATTGTTTCATCTCAAAGTTATTCAAAAATGTCCTAATAATCCCAGCCTCATCCCAGAAAACGTGTTTTCCTTAACTACAAAATAAAGCAAGAATTTACTTATCACAAACAAAAAAATTAGAATCACATAATCTATGTCATACTACAAGCTAATTGCTTGACATGAAAATCATAAATGTCTCTATCAGTTTCCTGCTCTGTCAAATAGTGTGTATGATACTTGGTTTACTTGCCTCACATTGCTGCCAATTTTGAATAATAAGTGTGTAAAAGTGCTTTGTTAATTTATACTCTGACTATAAATCTGCAGTGCACATTCGTGTACTCATTTCTGTACTCCCAACACTTGGCACGGTACCTGACATGGATGACATGCTCAATAACTTAATAAAATTGAATGAAAATCAAGTATTTGAAGTAAGAGTATTCTTTTTTATATAATCTTAGGCCAGATGACAACAAAAAACTACCACAATGTTCCTCTTAGCTCTGTTCCAATTTCTAGAAAAGAAAGCAAAATTTAATGTTCCTATTTCCCAAATTCAGGAGGTTTGTCTTTGAGGATTTCTGTTTAAGCAGAGACAATGAGTTGGAAAATAGAATATACCAGGGTTTGGTCAAAAGGCTTGAATTTTGATGTTGGCCTCAGCCAATGACTTACTGCACAAATTCAAAGCATTTGCTCTCCTCTCATTCTCAATTACCTCATCTGTTCTCACCCTACCCCTAATGACAACAGCAACAGCAATAATAATCATAATTACAATGAAATACCTCCCTTCTACCAGAATCTGATTGAAACACTTTGTTGGCATCATCATTTTTAATTCTCATATAACTCTGTGGCCTTGGTAGTATTGTACCTTTTTTATAATGAAGGAAATTGAGACAAAGATGTTAAATGACCTGCCCAGAACTACAGAGCCAGTCAGCTTCAAATCCAAGTTCTGTCTGACTCAACCTCTTTAACTAAAGAACTCTATGGACTTAGTCAGGCCAGATAATCCCAGCAGCTCTGGAGGCTGAAGCAGGAGGGTCATGAGTTCAAAGTCAGCCTTAGCAACTTAGCAAGGCCTAAGCAACTCAGTGAGACCCTGTCTCTAAATAAAATACCAAAAAGGGGTGGGGATGTTGCTCAGTAGTTAAGCACCCCTGGGTTCAATCCCTGGTACCAGAAAAAAAGATGGACACCCTAAGACTACAGCAGTTGCCATCAGCACTCCCCCAGCCATCTGTAGAAGGCAAAAAGAAAAGTTAATGGAACAAAAGAATAATGAATAGCAACATGGATGACAATAACTATCACTTATTAAATATTTTCTTAGTGCTTCAGATGCATTATCTTAATTAATTCATCATCATAATCCTATGAAGAAGGCATTTCTATTGATGTTATTTTAAATTTGAGGAAACTGATGTTTTCTAGGGTAATCAATTGAACAAAGATCATTCAACCAGCAAGTTGTAGTGAGAAAATGTTAGTTATTTGATTCTAAACCTGATGCTGTAAGTGCTGTACCAAACTATTCTACAAAGTTATATAAATATCAAAATAGTAAACTTAATCCAAAAATAGGATGTTTTTGTGTGAATAAAATATTTTTTGATTTTCAATCTGTAATTCCTATTAAAACATTTTTATTGAACTCTAAAGTTATGTAAAGTGAAAACATGAAATGTATTTAAGCCACTGAAAGAAGAGCATTTTCAAGCTGTAAGGCTCTGATCTGGGCTCTGCCTACATCTACATCATCTACATAGGCAAAAGCCAATAGGAAGTTGAGCTTGTCACAGGGAAATCTTCTCTCAGGTTCCACTGTAGGGCCTGGGAATGAATCAGACTGGATCAGAGATGCAGCAGGGTACCATATGTAGAGGATAAGTTTAGGGGTGCCAAACAGCCACTCCATTTTCACCAACTCTAACATTGGGCAAATATGACATTCTCTGTACCTACCAAGCAAACAAGCACTGGAAACACTTCAAATTTGGGGGGTAAACCAACTAGTTCAAATTCTGGCTTATTTACTAGCACAACAATTTGAAAAAGTCACTCTGCCTTAGCTTCCTATTCTATAGAATGGGAATAATATAGTGACTACCTTCTAAGGATTGTAATTGTAATTGTACTTTAGGGCTGACTGAATTCATACAAGTACATCATTTAGAAAAGTGACATTATGAGGTAAGTATCCAGAAACTCAGAGATAGAATTGTATTTATCTGTCAGTTTATCCTTTGTTTCTTTGGAATATTTTTTGCAAAGTAAAGACTCTCTTGAGAGGTAAATGACATATGTACAAATCACTCATTCAATATTGCAAAAGATTAAAAAAATCTAAATTATGCAATTTAACTTCATGAATTATACCATTTTAATGTGGAACACTGGCCAATTATGACAAAAAAATTACAAAAATTTTGTTAAATATGAAAATACCCTAAGATGTGTGCTTGAAATTTCATAAAGCAATATGCAGAACAATATTATTCTATTATTATTTGTAGAAAAAGTAACAGAATAATATACCTTATTATTTGTGTCTAATATAACTAATATTTGTTTGTATGTACATAAAAGATCTCTATTAACTAATAAATGTTTTTAAAGTAGTTTCTAATTGAGGAACAGGATCTAGCAGGTGAAAGATGAGAGGGGAGAATTTATTTTTATTCTATATTTTTTGTTTCTTAAGTATTTTAAGCAAATTTCCTTCTTTGTTAACCAACTTTATTTATGTTTTTATCATTATTATTATTTCTTTATAATCAGCATTATATGCATGTAAGAATTGACCCTGAAACAGTTTAGCTAGAAAAAACTGAAAGAAAAAAAATCAAGAGTTATTAAAAGGCAATTGCCAAAAAAAAAAAAACTACTTCATAATTTTTTGGAAAGTTGATGGGCTCACTTAAGTTGTAGATAATAGTCCATCTTCCCATGATTCACCTCTAGATTACCAATAGCTTAGACTACCAATAGCCCTAAAGATTTCTGTAAACTGTAAGCTTCTTCTTTTCTCAAATACAGACTATATATTTTATTGTATGAGCAGCAGAGACTAGAGCTTCCAGACTTCTAGCCACTTAATTTAGAACTTTCAAATCTTTGGCAAGATAACTGAAATATGAAATAAAAATACCAAAGTATCCTACATTCTGCTTGCTTCTTTCAAAACAGAGAGCCCAAGAAAATAAACAGAGGAGAATGAAGAAAGTTCTTAAGACAAACAACACAACACAATGTCTAATAAGACTCACAGTTTTATTTCTGCTAGAAGAAAGGAAAAAAACAGTCATTTTTTTTAAAAAAAAAAAACAAAAGATTTAAACAATTGCTTTGCTTTATCCAAAAAAGAATCCCCAGAATAATGAGACAAGACTGAATTAGAGAATAGGTTCTTTCCAAGCTTACTGCATTTCTAAACTTTAATCCCTCTGCACAGTCCCCAGGAGGCCTTGTTCATGAGGACTATACTCTCCAAAGGCATAAACAATAGGTTCCCAGAAAAGAACTCTGGCCCATCTTACATTGAAGGGGGGGGAAAAAATCTAAAAACCATAACTTGCAAAGCCATTCAAATTATTGCTAGTTTTTAATAAAATAATTATGAACTAACTTCCTCCTTTCCCTTTACTCCAAAACTCAGAACTGTCTAGCAAACTGATGAGTTTCTGTCCAAATGAAGTCTCAGGGAGGGTTTGCAAGCACATCTATGGGGCCCAAAGAATTTGCATAAAAGGAAGGGAGAAATAAATTAAATAAATAATTTCTAATAAATAACTCAGACAACATTCATTATCTACAAACATAAATGCCAGAAAATGCTAACTTTAAGGATAGATCCTCTCACACCCCCTCACGAAGGTAAGTACCAGATATACTTGGAAAGCACATAGGGTTGCTTTAGAAATCACTTTACTTGCCTATTCCCACTAGGACAGATCATGATGAGGGGGGCCACTTTGGTGGCTGGTAGATCTCTCTGCAAAGCTACTTTTCAAATGGATTTACAAACCAAGGGTGCAAAATAAAGCAGAGTAAGTGCTGCAAGATAAATGGAAATGAAATAACTTAACCCACAGAGAATAAATAAGAAAGGTAAAAAGATAAGATATACATAAAGTTTGGCAGATGTTAGGGAGTGGTTGAGCTGTAGAAAATGACGCACTAATCTGTCATATCGATTTTATACATCAGCCCCTATCAGTGAACCCTGCATCACTAAACTTTTCGTCTGTGGCAGGAGCAGGACTTGATCCAATATCAAATAAGCCATATATACTCTTGGTTTGATTCTAAATAATTGTCCTAGCAGATTCAACAGGATAGTAAAATTTCTCAGATCTCATTTCTCTGATAAGGTAAACTTGACAGAGTAAGTGTTAATATAAAGGAAAAAGAATTTACATAAATAGAAATCTACATCCTGCTGATTGGACTAACCCTGTGATGAAGCTACAGACTGATAAAAAGTATTCACTGACCTTAGATTTCACTTCTGAATTCATATGTCTTGTCACTTGAAATGTTGTGTGTAATACATAATAGCATATTATATCTTAGAAATAAGGAAAGGGTAACAATTAGTGAGAGGGAGAGAAGCAATTGCATTTATATTGGAAAAAAATCAAACTTGGTCAATAAATTGAATAGTGTTTGTGCTTCTGAAAAATATATAAGTGTGGATAGAGGTCAGTGTTTTTAATCATATTTACTTTAACCAAATGAAATTCATCTTCCTAGGGAAAGATTTAGTGGTTTTCTTATGGGAAAGTATGAGCTATAGAGAGTCCCTGAATGATGGTAGTTGGTGTAGCCAAGAGTTATTTTATTGCTCCAAAACGTGTGTTGTGTGCTGATTCCAAGAGCAGAACCTGAACATGGTCAGAATTTCGAGTTCCCTAGTCATGCAGGCCATGAAATTATCTAGGTGACTTCTCTATGTTCTCTTGGTCATAGAAGTCTGAGATTTCAAAGAATCTCTTGCTCTACCTCTAGTACTGAAAAAGTGCTTTTGAAATATTATCAAGAATGAAGTTAGCATGAGGCCTCTATTATGGTTCTCAAATCACTAAGGAAGATATGGTCAACTTTCAGTCCAATGAGAAATGGAGCTAATCTCTTCAAGAACATACTTTGTTATTCACAGTTACAACCAAGTTAGAATGTTAGCCTCTGGAAGCTATTTTTAGATTGATACAAAGTTGTGTCATCAAGTTCAAACGAACTGCATTCTGTGAGTCAACAGATATGCACCTTGGGGTCCCTTTGGCAACTCCATTTGATCATCCCACATATACTATCCATTTCCTATTATTGCTTTATTTTTCTTTTTTCAGTTTTACGAAATTTCTGAGAGTGATCACTGAAGTTATATAATTCCAGAACTGTGAAAGTCATTAAAATCATCTGGACTTAGAACAATTGCTTCATATTATTAGTAAATAAACAAACACCAGAAATGGAAAATTAATTAGCATAGGTTATTCAATGAGTTCTTGGCACCGTGATCCTAGGGCCTAAGTCCTCACTCAGTTCAGCCTCTTACAGTGTTGTAAGTCACCAAAAAGTTCACTTGAAGACCTTAAATAAAGGAATCAATAAAATGTGAAAAGCAGATGAGCAAAGAGGGGGACAGATGTAGGAGACCCTAAATGATCTAGCCCTATTGTGTTTGATGAATATCCATAGGGTTTCTTTAAAGTCTTTGAATCTTTAGCTCAACCACTTGAATTATGGGAAATATCTCCACATCATTCTCTGAAATGCTGGTCTTACTGCCCTAATCAGTGAATATCGTATTGAGTTGGGTCCCAATACTGTGGTGGGGGTAGGAATCATAGGACATGTCTATGGGAATGTCATAGCGAGAGGTACCAGCCTGAAAGGGAGTTGAATGCACATGCCCTGAGCTGAGGTTGGCAGCGGGGTAATGTGACATGAAGCTGTAGGATTTTTCCAGGTCAGGAGAGCCATCTTGCTTCAAGGAGAAGTTCCCACTGATGCTCAGGGGTGGAGTGAGTGGGCCCTCATAAGGAGGTGTACTGCAGTCAGGTGGATGGCTCCCAAAGGATGATTCTCCCAAACTCTTAAATACTTGAGGCTTGAGATGAAGAAGATGTGTTTCCATATGGCCATACGGAGGGCTGGGGAGCCCCGGAGACTGGTAGTTAAAATTATGGACAGAGATGGTAGAGTCACAAATAGGAGATTTCTCCTCATGCTTCTCCAGGAGGACCGACTGAGGGCCCAGTTGAAGGCATCCAGCCACCAGGTTGCTTGTGGGCTGAGAGAGTCCTTTACAGAGCATCTCCACAAAGCCCTTTCCTTCAGGTGTCTGGCCAGTCTCTAAGACTTCAGACAAAGCCCAAATATAGTTCCTGGCCAGTCTAAGAGTCTCTATCTTGGAAAGCTTTTGGGTTTTAGAGTAGCATGGCATGACTCTTCTGAGGTTATCCAGAGCATCATTCAGACCATGCATTCGGGTTCGTTCTCTAGCATTGGCCTTGACCCTTCGAGCCCTGAATCTCTCAAGGCGAGCTTTGGTCATCTTCTTTTTCTTGGGACCTCTTCTCTTAGGTTTCTCCCCATCTTCTTCCTCCTCTTCTTCTTCTTCAATACTGTCATGCTCTTCAGTTAAGCTGCCAAGCACCCCATAAGTACCCGACCTTCTCTCCTCCTCCTTCATCTCATTTTGAGAGCACAGACCTTTGTCCATCCAGGATGGTGTGTTGACCAGCTCCCCCATCTCCTTGGATTTCACAAAAGTTTTTGCCATTTCCAGATTCTAGAAAATGGAGACAGAGAAAGTTAATTCCTGTGAATACCTGATTTGATTCTAAACTAAACGTTCTTATTATCTTTTGGGCATAGAGTCCGGAATTTGCTTTGGGATTCAATTCATAATTATCATGTCCAAGTTCCTCCACTTTAAATGAATAATAATCCACGCTCAAAGAAATGCGCAGAACACTTATCTAGTTATACTATATATATATATATATATATATATATATAAAATCAACTATATTTAAAGAAAATGAAACTTAACATGGAAATGTTCATGCCTATTTTCAGTTTCTTTATCTCATGGATATTTTAAACAAAAATAAATGGTATACAAGTTCAAACATACAGTTTTCTTTCTTCCCAAAATTCATAACACAAAGGGAAAAGGGCATATAAATCATCCAAACAGAGAAATTTCTGAAAATGAAATACAGGGCTAAAATAATTATAATTATATGCAATATATATAAAATTATTGTTGCAAAATAAAATGCATATTAAACAGTTAAATAAACTGTCATAAGGTAAACAAAAAAACTGCAGCAAGATCCTCAGACTACTTTGCATGTATTTTAGAAAGGACTGTCAATCTCTGTTTAGAGGTGTTTCATGGACTTTGTAATATCCCATGGCACTGCCAACTGGTGGCTTTAGGCATCTCCTAGGAAATGGTCATGTCACAACTGGCTGGTGTGCCACATGACCATCAAACATTTATCTCACCTCTACCAGAAGAGCATTCTGTTTCTTAATAAGCACCTTGTGTTCTGTCTAGTGTTAGAGGTGTTAGTGACATGATGTCTTGAAAGGATCATGGAAACAAAGGAGGGTTATCACTGTTCATCCATCAACTTTGCCCATATGTTGAAGTGAGAACTCTTTTCATTGCACTTAAAACTCACACCATCAGACAAGACCATGGCAACCTAGAAGTACAAGCTGGTGATCTACCAAACCCATATAAGAAATCTTAGTGCAACTATTATGAAAATACTTTATTTTCATAATAGTTGCACTAAGTAAAAAAAAATCAAAAACAAATACTAAACGAAACAGAATAGAGTGACGGAGAACATGAGAGGACTATTTCAGATAAACACAGAAAGAGCCTGACTACTTTAATTCACTTGCCTGATGGATACTGTTTAATCAGAATTTTCTATGCAAAATTTGCTATTTGAAAAACAGAACAGACTGGTGGTTAGTAAGTATTTTGCATTCAGTTCTGGAAGAGTTTGAATTGTTTTGAAATGTGTTGAGCAATTGGTAGGCATATAGTTTACCAAATAAAAGGATCTGATAAGCTACATTGGGGCATCCCGGTTTACCAGCTAGTCTTTGAAACATTAAACCCTCCATCACCTTTGATTATGAGAAAGAGGAGAACACGATAAATGTTTTTTGATCCTTGAAGCTTGAGCCTCAAATCAATGAATGCGGGGATTAGTACATAGCTTTTAAAAATATAAATATATGATTTGATTTGTTTCTGGTAATTGGAGCTTGTTTTCCTTGTAACCTCATTTACCTCCTATAAATAATTAATGTTACTGCGTTGCGAAAACAGCCTAGGTTTCATGTTAATCAGCACGGAAATCATGTCAGCTTGACTTACTCACTTAATAAGGCTTCCTGGGTAAGCAGCTTTATTGAAAACACACATTGGAACCTATTGGTCAACTGGCTGCCCAGGCCAAGTCAGAAAATCCCACTTTTAATATGGATGATGGAGCTTGTGTGCTGAGCTGCACTTCTAACTCGGGCAGATATCCAGAGGGAGGGTGAAGGACCTAATTAACTTTCTGTTAAAGTAACACAGATCTTCCAAGGGCAGGTGCACTCTGAGGCCAAAAAGGGTGAAGTGGGCTTGGGAAACCTAATGCTCCCCCTGCCATTTAACTATAATAATATTTGTACAACATTTTAAAGTTTACAGGGCACTTTTGCATCTATTAATTTGTATGTTTCTTAGAGCAAACTTTGGAGGGAGAGAGGGATCGTCAAGCTCACTTTATAGTCAGAGTCACTGTAGGTCAGGTCATTTTAGTGATGGCAATATAAGGACATAGAGACAGTGGAGCAAGACAGGAAATCAGTTCTGATTTCAAATCCTGTGCTCTACATGTTTTCTTTTTTCTTCTTCCCTTACATCTACAGGAAGATATTCGCTTCAACTTTAGCAGTTGGAGAAGGATGGAACTAACTCAACAGGAGCAACCATGACCCAAAGGGAGGCTGCCTGAGGTGTTCTCCAAGGCACAGTTTTAACTCTCATATCCCAGGATTCCTTCCTCTTCCAAATGTGTTCTTTATTGCTTTCATCTACTTGTTCTCTCTTCTTCTCTTCCATTCTCTCCTCCTCCTCTTTCTCTCATCTGCATTATCATCATTACACTGGTCATACTTATTATGCATGGAGAAAAGAGAAGGAAGGTAAGAGACAGGAGAGTCTCCTTACTCGCCCCTGAATACCACTCTAGCTTGGGCATTTGCCATTCTTCACCATCCCCATCTCTGCACCTCTGGACTTTCTGAGATCTGTCAATAGTCACCCCGATCAGGAACTGGGATTAAGAGAATAGAATAGACCATCCTTAGCCTTTAACATGTTTAACGGTTTCTGTAAGAGTCAAGGAATTGCTTTAAAATTAGGTTGTTGGTAGTTATGTAGAAGAAGAAGCAAGTGGCTTTGTCCAAACCAATGAAAAGAGCAACAAATTTTCGACTGACTCCGGGAAGAACAGAGCTGGGTTCTAGTTTCAATTCCTTGGTACTCATCAGTACTGGTCCATTCGTTTCAGAGAATCCATTAAAGTATAGTGTGGTTTCAAAAGCATGGAAGCTGGAATCATAGAGATATGAACCCTAGTCTCAATTCTTCTAATTCCTCATGGTTGATCTCAGACACATTACATGAAGCTCTAAGTTCTTCCATTTTCTCTTTGAAAAAATAGTGATAAGATGTACTTTATATTATTCTTTTAAGAAAAATAAAAATAACCTTGCACAGTGGTGCCTACCTATAATCCCCAAGACTTGGCAGGCTGAGAAAGGAAGATCATAAGTTCAAGGCCAGCCTCTCAGCAGTTTAGTGAGGTCCTAAGCAACTTAGTGACACTCTGTCTCAAAATATAAAATAAAAATCGCTGGGGTTATCTCACTGATACAGAGCCCTGGGTTCAATCCCCAGTACCCCCCCCAAAAAAAAGAAAGATAAAAATATAAGAAAGTAGCTTGTCATTTTAAATGTTATGATTTATTATCATTATCAATATATTTATTTTGCATTTATTCTTGGGTTTTTAAAAATCTTATACACTTCCATACATTTACTTATTAAAAATAAAAATCATTTCCCACAAATGAGTAAAGAAAATAGACTACATTAACTAATGCATCTCATTACCTGAATATTACCTCATCTGATTGGCACAGAAGTTCATCTGACAGTTGCTCAATGGGACTAGACAGCACAAACTCTGAAGCCAGATTTTCTGGGTTCAAATTTCAGCTGTACAACTAACTAGATATGTGACCTTAGGCAAATTTTATGACTTTTATCTGCTTCAGTCTCATCTTCTTTAAAATAAGAATAATAATAGTTCTGACTCATGGCATAAAATGAGTTAATATATTTAAAGCACTTTAAATAGTGCTAGACAACATAAATCCCATGTAAGTACTATTATTCCTTAACTTCACCATGATTTTCCTGGCCACTTGGACAAAAAAAAATAGTTATAATATGTGCTTAATGTTGATTTCTTGATAATAAAAGCTAATGGCTCCATTTCAACACTCATTTTTTTAAAAAAAAAGTCCTGATATCCCCACTCTTCCCACCACCTAATGAAATTAAATATCATATTCTGAGTTTTCTGTGAAAACTCCAAACTCTTATCGGCCACCTCCAGGATCGACTAGCCCTCCCCCATTGCATTCAGAAAGGCCAGCTTCCTTACTTTCATTTTGTTTTATAACAGAGATGAAAAATTTGGCTGCACAATTCCTCTTAGTCATGTAAACTTCTAGGTTCATGAAGCTTCTGGTTGACTACAGACAACCCTGGACACTTAGACACCGTTACCTTTGGTTATGAATATAGGGACTATGATTCTTCCACAAAAACCAAATAGCAGAGCTCTAGGGAGAAGATGAAGTTTCTCACAGATAGAAGTAACAGCTAAAACTTTTCAAAAGTAAAGAAAAACTTCCTCTATTGCCACATCGATATTTTGAAGGCATCAAAAGAACTGGTAGGGGGAAAAAAGACTAACACCCAGTTCCAAATCTGAGTGTTGAAAATGTGGCAGAGTTCTGAGTTTTGATGAAAGGAACTAACTGGGTTCTCTTCAGAATAGTCACCTAAATCTAATGTCATTTTTAGCTTATTAATGAACCACCTCCGTGATATACTGAGAAAAATCATGAACACTAAGTCCCTCTCCTTTCACTCAATTATTAAACAGGCACAAGAAAAGTATTATAATTCTTTTACCCTGAAGGGAAAAATGTAAATAATATGTTTACCTTTCCTACCTGATTAAGAAGTTTTATTTTGTGAAGTTATTTTGCAAATGTTCAAGTTGGCAATTGTTCTACGGAACCTGTAGAAAAGGAAAGTCTCTAGCACAATCTCAGAATGTATCATGATAAGTCATTTAAAGGCTTTCTCAATTCCTAGGCAAAAAAAAATAGCACTCAAAATATACAGGAAGCTGACTCCAATATGACAAAAACCAATGAATATTCATGCTGGGAGCAGAACCAGCAACTAGCCCCTTCCCCCAACACACGCAAACATATTCCTTTTTTTTTTTTTCGGTAGTGGTATGGGGAGTTGAACCCAAGACCTCACGTGCTAGGCAAGGGCTCTACTGCTGAGTTACATCCCCAACCCCAGCACTTTTTGATTTATTTTTGAGACAAAGTCTTGCTAAGTTGCCCAAGCTGTCCTCAAACTTAAAATCCTGCTTCAGCCTCACCAGTAGGAATTACAGCCATTGCATTCTGATCTTATAAAGTCCATTTTAATCTTTGATCTTGGCATTTGGATTTCCTTATGTACCTACACAATATATACAAACTTTTTTCTTTCTTTGGGATCCTGCAATGAAGTTTCACATTTAATCTGTTCTCCCATTTTTTTTTTTCATTTTTAACCCTTTCTAGCAAATTGTTTGCTCATAATCAAGGATTGTGACACCTAATATTTTCTACCTTGTGGCCAAGGTCATTGTGCTTTACTACCATGCGGAGCAGCCGTGGAATGCTTTCTACACTTGAACTAATTTTTGTTTTGGAGAAGCTTCAACTGGTGAATAAATGAATACAAGGTGATAACATGTGAGTTTGTGGTGGTTGGACAGTGTCTTTCACCTTAAAAGCTGACAGCAGTCTTTACCTCCTGGTCCTAGGACTCTAAATACAATAGGAAGGGGAATATCCAACCCAGTTTCTACAAAATTTAAAGGTCTGGTAGACTAAATGTTTTGCCCATAGATGCAGAATCCAAAAGAAAAAGACAGAGTACAAACCAGGGTGCTCACAAGTAACACTGCTTGGAAATATTAGGCTCTTCTGGGCTTTTCTTTTTCACCCTTTTATACTCTCTACTTCCCCTTTGATTAATAACTGTGCAGATGTGCACACACATTTTATCCAGCAAAACCATGGCATACTTCAAAATTTATTAGTGAAATTTGTTAACAGAAGTTACTCATTCCTTGAATTTCCCCTCCTTGTTCTTCAATATGTCATCTGTCGAAAAAAATGAGGGGGTCATTTTACATTTATTAGTATTTTCTAAATACACTTTTGGGTGAGCAAATGGTGGGTGTAAGACAGAAAGAGGGGGAAATATACTTGGACAACCTTTCTTTTCTGATTTCCCTTCTGAAAGGGCAGGGGGAAAGAAATTTCCTCCACTACTTATCCAAGAATTTTTAGCACACCAACTGAGGAAGCGGTGAGAATCCACTCCCATAGCCGGCAAGATCTTTTCCCATTGCTTTATTTTCATTCCCTTCCTCCCACTTTATTCCCTGCACTCTAAAGTGCTGTGAGCACAAGAGGCAGATTGGTTCACTTCTTTTATCCTGATTCCTATCCACCTTGGAAAAGCAGTCAAACTTTTGGATGTTTTTCAGAATTAGTAAAATCAAAGTATAGGTTTGATAGCAATGGAGGGGAAATCTGAAATCTCTGCTTTATAGAAATGTTTCATGCCTGGTATGGGGGCACACACCTGTAATTCCAGGTAAGCAGCTTAAGAAACTGAGACAGTAGGATCACAAGTTCGAGACCAGACTCAGCAATTTATCAAGGCCCTAAGCCACTCAGTGAGACCCTGTCTCAAAAAAGAAAAAGGGCTGGGGGTGTGGCTCATGGTTAAGCCCTCCTGGGTTCCATCCCCTGTACCAAAAAAATAAAAAATAAAAAGATTTATAGTATCTATGAGTTTTATTCTGGGTGGCAGGTGCTATAAAATTCCATAGTATTATTTAAAATGTTATATGTACTTCTAAATGTTTTGCTCCCTCTGCTTCTAAATTCAAGTTTCTTAAATCCTACTCCCTCCTCCCTTAGCCAGAAGAGACTTACCTCACTCCAGTAGCTCTTGTACATCTATGGGAACTTCCCACAGAAACTTTAGTAGCCCCCCTCCCCCACCATTTCCTGCTCTGGCTCACCTCAGTAGTGGCAGATCCTGGGGTGAACTCTGCAAAGCTGTGACCTGAAGGACAGTCAGAGAAGCCAAGTTCTCCTGACCATGCAGAGCGTGGGAGAAAGAGGTGCCTTCAGCGATCCATCTTAAACCCTGTGAGTATCTCTTAGAGATTCCTCCGGGTCTGGTTCCACTGGCTGCCACTTATTCTATCCTTTCCTTGGAGTTCTGATGCTTCTCCAGGACACCTTCAGGCTGATGCTTTTGTGAAGCTGGTTTAGTCAGTCTCTTCAGTACCTCTGTCCTTGGTTAGCTCCCGGAGAGGCGCTTTCAGGACCACAGCCTCTGGGCAGCTCCTGCGCTCTGGCCAAAGCGTTCGACTTGCAGCAGTTTTGATTGCTCTCCCAGCTGACCAGGGACAGGGACGCTGCCCACAGTCTAACTCCTCCCCCTCCCCAGCTGAAAGACACGCCCATTTCAAAGGGCTCCTCTAACCAGAAACAACTTTGCCACTGTTTGTTTAAATTGGAATAGGATTCTAGAAGGGGGACCTCAGAGGAAAGTTGCAAAAGTTGAGGGATAAATAAAAAACAGAATTGAAAACCTTTGTGATTAAAGAGCTGAGAAACCAGAGTGCAGCGGGATGAGCTGAATGGGGGAGGGGGGGTTGAGAACAGAAGGAGCTAAAGGCTAATGAAACTGATGGCCCACATCTGAAAAGAATTTTAAAAGAGAAAGATATATGTCGAGGACACCCTATCAGCAGTTGCTACTTTACGCACGCAGGTTGGCATCTTTTTTTTTTTAAGAGTTTTAAAAGTAGAAGGAAGAAATATATGCCTCTTCCTACCCTCCAACATGCTGAACTTATTTCCGTTTAAAACCTTTGTTTTACTTTGTGAATATAGATGAATCTAGAGCTGTATCCAGTATATTTTATACAGTTATCACTATATTTAGTGTACTTAGCTATATAATAGTAGTAATTGTACTATTTTTCAATTTTCTATTCATTTGAAATTTATTTTTTTTTAAAAAAAAAAAGCAAGTGAAATTGACTTAAAGGAAATTCCCCCACCTTTTTGATAACTACTTGTTCCACCAATATAACTAGCACATATGTCTAACAGGTATGAGAAAAATAAATGTGTTTTGTGCACAAGATTACAAAGGATTAAAGCAAAAGATAATCTTTATTTGTTTGTTGGGTCCCTGGGAGTCAAACCCAGGGTCTTGTGCATGCTAGACACACAGTCTATCACTGAGCTACACCTCAAACCCCAAAAGCGTTTTGTTAATAAAGTTAAAGACTATCTTAGGCTTGAAATAGTCAATCTTTTAAAATTCTGATACAAGTGTCCTGTGACTCTTGTCCTTCACACACACACACACAAAAAAAAAAAACAGAGAATAAGATTAATGGTTTTTGTTGTTGTTGTTGTTCAGTTTTCATAGATGTTATTCATTTTCAGCACATCTTTAGGTTCTTACTAATCTTTTTGTGTCTCTACTCAGGAAATATCTGCTCAGCAAAATAAACATCATTTCCCAAACAATTAAGCAGCACATGATAGGAACAGGAGATTTCTAAAAACCAAATCAAAATTCACTCTTTGGTAAGCGAAAAGTTATCTATGGGGTAATTTGTATCTGGTATAGTGTAGTTATTCAATGAAGCTTTAAAAGCCATGTCCAGTGATATTAAAAAGTTGATGGCACTGGTTGTGTTGGTGTCCTGCCTGTGAAGTTTTCAGGGGGAGGGAAGGAATAACAGATTAACAGAAAGGTGAACATATTGAGACAAAAATGAGGGTGGAGACAGAACATTCTGCAGGGGCTCCGCGCTTCCTCTGACAGATGTAAGGGACTGAACATAATAGGATTAGCCTCCAAAATACATTCAGAGTGTGTGTGTGTGTGTGTGTGTGTGTGTGTGTGTGTGTGCATACTCGTGCAGCATTGGAGGGAACTGAGGACACTGAATTTTCTTTAAGAGACCCTATTTCATCAGGGTCATTCTGGTCACAACTCCTTGACATTGCACTATTGGCTGTTGAACTCTGAGAAGGCAGGAAGGGACAGGAGGGGTGTGTGCTGTCAGCAAAGGAAAAGGGGTGGTGACTGCCTTAGGAAAAGAGAAAGAAGGCCATTTGCATTCATTCTCCTCCCCCACATGGTTCTTGGGCCAGAGGGCCAATCCCCAGCCCTTTCCTCTTTCTCTGCTGCTTTTTGTAAAGCTCTGAGCTAACCTGTTAGAACCATCTGCTAAGTGGGGAAAATGAGACCAGCACTCAGTTGCTGGCCCACAGGCCTGATGCTGGGAGCCATTGAAGCAGAGAGAAGGGAGGCAACAGGCAGATTTATGGGCAGCAATCTGTTCCCCCCCCCCAAGGACCCTCTGCCAGGAGACAGCCTGATAATCCATCAACCCCACTAATGAATTAATTAGTATTCCCAGTAATCCTGACCCCCAAAGGAGACCTGCCCGTGGGCCCCTAAGGGGGGAGAAGCTGCCTTCTTTGGCCAGACGCTGAAGACCTGGGACCAATGTCTGACATTAGGCCCCAGGGTGCTAAGCTGCAAGCCACAGATCCTGTTGCTAACGGTCCCCAGATGTCCCTCCTTCTCACCTTCCCTTGGGAGACCACTCACTTTTGCTGAATTAAAACCAATGCTGCCAAACAAATGGGACCCAGAGATATAAATCAGGAACTATAGATGGTAGAAAAGTGAACTTCCAAGAAAGAAACTTAGATTAGACTACTGTATTATTCATAATAAAACTTAAGCAGATCCTGAAACTGCTCTTCAAAGATTAGGCACTGCAAGTTGGGACAGGGCTGGGTGGAAAGGGTTGGGGGCAAAAATAAAGGAAACACAGTCCTTGCTTCAAGCAGTTCACTACTCCAGTAGCAAAATGATACAGGTTCAAAAGCAATTATTGTGAAACAGGTTAAAACAAAGTGATTTGTGACATGACTCTCCCAAATAAAGACTGGAGGGAAATATAGAGCTACCAGCTGAGTTTCTGAATAGTCTAGAGAATGATGGGGAGATACAGTAACCCTCTCTTACAATTGCAAAGTCCTTCATTCTTTTCAAAAACTTGTGATGCAGCAGTATAGTCAAAGAAAAAAGAAAGAAAAGGCTTGGGAGTAAGGAAACCTGCATTTGTGATGAGTGGCCTAACTTCTCTAGGCTTCGTGTTCCCCATTAGTCAGGGATCAGGTTGGGCTTTGATCTCTCAGGTTCCTTCCAAATCTAACATTCAGTGATGGTGACATGGCTAAATGTCACAATTACCCTTTGAGAGTAAATAATACTGGTCTTTTCAAAGGTACACAGACTGAGTCCCAGTTTTGAACAAGGCAATAAAATAAGTTAGTGACAAAAGCAAGTATAGAAACTGGTGATAAATGTGGGTGTCCTCTTTCTACCTAGATTACTGATCCTTGTTGGGGTGGACACTTGATTCAACCTTCTCTCATTCCATTCATTCAAGGTCTGTGCATTTGGGCATTCACAAAGTGTGCAGAGTGACTTACTCCAGCTACACAAAACTACCTGCATTTGAGTATCTGTTGGGAAATTCCTATACCTTTGAAAAGCTCTGTGGCATGTGTCCCATCATCCTTCTCTGCAGTTGCTATACCCAGTTCCTAAGAACAAAGCCACTTAGGAACCAATTAAAACCAAACATTTCCATTTACTAATACATTATTTTCACAACTTTATTTACAAGTTATTTACCTCTCTGAGCCTCAGTTTTATCATCTGTAAGTTGGAGGTAATAACACATAGCCAATAACCTTCTCTAAGGAGTGCATATCAGATAACATATGCAAAGTACTTAGGATAGTGTTTGAAAGTTACCAAATGATCCCTAAGTAGTAGTTATTGTTTACCTCAAATATCTAGATTTGATTTTTTTTCATTCTTTAGAAATCAAGAAAAAGCTAATATCATATTTCTTTATAGAGATATGGAGATACTATCTCAATCCAAGTATCCTTTTATTATAATAAAGGTCACACTATATTAATTTATCCAAAAATGTGTTTTATGTATATATAAAACCCCAAGCACTATGCAATATTCCAAGAACATAGCGATAAAGAAGACTTCCTATTCTTAACCTTCTTATTCATTTCAATATAGTGGCAGAGGTAAAAAAACTAAACATATAAATATAGCCCAAAAAACTTCACTTCTTGTGTCTTTCTAACATAATCCTATGTGTGCCCAAGGAGTCATTATGGAACAGAGGTGTTAAGCAGAGCATTGCTTTTTTTTCTCCTCCTCCTCCTCCTCCTCCTCCTCCTCCTCCTCCTCCTCCTCTCTTCTTCTTTTATTTATTTATTTGTTTGTTTATTTATTTCTTTAATACTAGGATTGAACTCAGGTGTACTTAACCACTGAACAACATCCCCAGGGCCTTTCTATATTTTATTTTGAGGTCTCACTAAGTCATTCAGAGCTTTGCCAAGTGGCTAAGGCTGGCTTTAAACTTGCAACCCTCCTGCCTTTACCTCCCAAACCACTGGGATGAAAGTTGTGCACCACCATGCCCAGCAGTATTGCTGTTAATAGTGAAAAAAAATATTATCAATACCTTAAGTCACCAATGGTCCAGCCAAACAACGAAATACCATTTAATTTGCATGTGTTGTTCTATATATACTAATAAGAAATGTACTAAACATGCTAACATAGTATGGGAGAAATGTAAGTCAATTTGTGGAATCATAAGTTCAATATAAGGTACTTAGTTTTTAAACTGTACACATTTATATTAAATAATACATACATTTTATATGTCCATGCACACATATGCAAACTGATAACAATGTGTCTTTATCTCAGGTTATCTCATTTCTGGCATAAAGTAGTTTCAGACTGGGTAATATTCAAAGAAGATTGTTTTCTTTTGTACACATATAATCTGTTCATATATAACTTGTGAGAGTGAAATTGATTTTATAACACAGCAAAAGTATGCTATCTTCAACGTCCCAACCTCCACGCATACCCAAATTAGTTTTCAGAAAAAGGATCTCATAGCCACAGCCCACAACACCAAACCCTGCAGTATATAAGCCATCTCTCCACCAAACCTTCCCTTCTCTGCTGGCCTCAGGAGCATTTGCCTAATCTTAGGCACAAATTTTAAGCTGAAGTTAAGAGGCTTCAGTGCTGTGGTTCTTCAAACCAGAGGAATATCTGGTGTAGGACGGTGGAGATTTCCTGAGAATCCAGACTTCATTTAAAATACAAAAATATTAGGATAAAGATATGAATACAACCAAGTCCTACACTCAGAGTGCATTCAGTCTTCTGGGAGACCCAAACAGAGCACTGGTAAGGGCACTCGGAGATCAAAATCAAAGCTCTATTGCAACAAC